AGAGCGGAGTTTAGGGCTGTTGTACATAGGGTCGCTATGAGTCGCAGGCGACTCGACGGCACATAACAACAACAACAACAACAACAACAACAATACGCTTCTACTCATAAGAAAGAAAAAAATATTGCAAATATCTTTACTATAAAATGTCATTATTTAGCACAGCCAGAGGAAGTCTTTGTGTTAATAACCAAATGTGGAATGATTGTCACCTTGGCCTATGACAATGGAGGGATTCACAAGGAACAAAGAAGCTGCATCTTTACACTGCCATCTTTTCTGTAACTATATTAGGAATATGTACTACATATCATGATGCAGCATGTAATGAACTGGCACTATCATTCTCATACTAACTTCTGAAGACAAATAAAAAGCCCATTTGTAAAGAAACTCATGATAAAAACTATAGTAATGAAAACAAACCAAAGAAATCGCCAGACATTTGACTTAGAACTGACTGCTGACAAGATTGTCAGCATGAAACCTTGTCTTAAGACAAGACTACTTATACAGGTAGATAGGAAAATGCTTCTCCAGGTTAAAGTGAAAATACCAGTTCCTCATGACTTTAACAGATTCTTATTCAATACAAATTAGAAACTAGCAGGCCTTATGGAATATGAATTAGTTGCAATAATAGTAACAGAAATAACAACTACAAAAAACATCAGTAATCTAGAAATTATCTATCTATCTACATTTAAAAAAACAAATAAACAAAAAACACCACAACATCCAACCTCTGAGATAGATACTCATCATAGTACCCTCATTTTATGGTGAAGTAAACTGAAGTTCGGAGAAGTAACTCAAACTCACTGTTGTGATCAAGTCAAAACTAACTCACAGCTGACCCTCTGGTGGACTTTTGGAGGGCTTTAAATTATTGTATAGGAAGAGACTGCAAATCTTTCTCCCCAGAAGCTGCTAGTGGATTCAAACTGCCTTTGCATTAACAACAAAACTTCCTACGGATTTGTTAATTTTCACAAAGACTTTTCTCCTCGAGTCTAGGGAGGTCTGGTGTGGCAAGAAGCTTCTCTGAAATCCCAGGGGCATATGTTTTGAGGCCACCAGCTGCTCTGCAGGAGAAGGATGGACAATCTCCCAGAGGGTCAGCTATGGGATGGTTCTGATTTGACAGTACATAACAACAACAATAACAGAATAGAAATCAGTGTGTCAGCCTGTATTTAAACTCAGGGAATCTAGTCAGGGTCTATACAAGACAACTGTTCCTCTCCTCTCTCTGTTTTAGTTTGTAGACCAAATCTGATGAGGAGAGTGTATTATTGAGAAATGCTATTTCTTTCTCTAGAGTCAAGTTCATAATTATCTCATTTTTTTTAAAAATTAGGATAACCAAAGTGAGTTGGTGGTTTTTACTATAAAAGCAAAAGCAGAGACAGTGAATCACATGGGTTTCAAAGATTGTCCATCTTTCTTCTGTGGAGTGGAGCAGTTTGTGAATTCAAACCATGTGCCTTCATGCTGGCAGCACAGTTCTTAACCACTAGAATGGCAGAGTATCTTTGTAAAAAGAAGAGGTATCATTGAGGAGGCAATCTGTATTCCCTTTCATTCACCTTTGCTGAAGGCAAAAAGGGCACTCCATGAAAAGTGTTTATCAAAACTGTGTCTTCCAGAAAAGAAAGACTATCATGCCCTTCTTCCACGGCAAGATCCACAAGCATGGAATTTGTTAACCTATTTCATTATTACTGAGGCTGAGAAAGAATTTCCTTATCCATTCAAGCAACGTTGACAAAGATAAACAATAGAATGGGGACAACTACAGTACAATGCTAAGAAAAATGCCATTTCTCTTTTCTCTTTTTGTGTCAACAGTGACAGAAAATACTAAGGGAAAGAGGCATCATCAGGGCACTTTCGTGGAACCTCATGTCTCAATAGTGTTGGGAAGGATGGTTAGAGGTCTGAATCAAATATGAAGTTCACATTTATAAATAAAGGAGACAAAGAAATTTAAAAGTAGGTTTGTCCTGGAGAGGGTGAAAACAGCCAGACTACTCCTTGAAGGCAGTGATACTGGGGCTTCATCATGGTTGGGAGGGTGGAGGGACAGTGTAAGACAGGATGACCCTCGATGAGCTGGATTGATTCAGTGACTGTGGTTAATGAAAGTAGGTTTGTCAGCGACAATAAGGCTCACACAGAATAGAGCAGGTTTCAGGACTATTGTACATACGGTCACTGTGAGTCACAAGTGAGTCTATGGCACATAACAGCAGCAATTTAAACAGAAATTTCATTAAGGTAGTCTATTCACTAGTGCCACCTTTGGCAGGAAATCCCAAAATGAACTGCATTGGAAAAATTAGTTGTCAAGGACTTTTCCAGAGAGCTAAAGAACAATGATGTCTGTCTAAAGACAAAGGTGTGCCCAATCCAAGCTATGGTCTTTTCAATTACTTGGTATGCATCTGAAAGCTTGACAGTGAATAAAAATGACAGAAGAAGAATAAATGATTCTAAGTTATGGTGTTAGAGAAAAGTATTGAGTATCCTATGGTCTTCCAAGAGAACAAACAGATCTGTCCTGGAGAAAGTGAAACCAAGAAAGCACCAAAGTGCTTTTTGGATAGTAAAGCTCCATGTCACATTCTTTGGCATGCTGTCAGGAGGGGTTTGTCCTTGGAGAAGGCCATCATGCTTGGAAAAGTAGAGGGTCAGCTCAAGAGAAGACTTTCAACAAGATGAATAGACACTGTGATTGTAGAAATGAGGTCAAGTGTATTGGTAATAGGTAAGCTTAGGATACGGCAAGGTTCAGAACTGGTGTTCACAGGGTCACTATGAGTCATAGACAACTTGATGGTACATAACAACACCACCACCACACTAGTGGGAAATAAGGTTTGATATTGAAAAACAAATTCATTTTATACATCAAGAAGTTAAAAATGAACAATGATATCGCTTGCAAATATAAGCCAAGTGAAGAAGTGTATTAACTATCCTTCCAATGAAATGAATGTGCAGTTTAAAAATACAGAACTCTAGAGTTCTAGTTTGCCTGGCTCCACAATCAACACTTTTGGTACCAGAAGCCAGGAAATCAAAAGATGAATTGCATTGGGCAAGTCTGCTATCAGGGACCTCTCCAGAGTACTGAAGAGCAACAACATCAGTCTAGAAACCAAGGAGCTCCTGATCCAGGCCACAGTCTTTGCAATTGCTTACTATGCATCAGAAAGCTGTACAATGACTAAAGATTATAGAGAAGTGATGCTTTTGAGCTGTGGTGCTGGAGAAGAGTACTGAATATAGCATGGACTTCCAGGAGAACAAAGGAGTTCATCTTAGAGCAGGTGAGACCACACTGCTCCTTGGAAGCAAGGATTCTGAGGCTTCATCTAACATAATTTGGACTTGGTGCAAGAAGGGACCAGTCCTTGGAGAGGGACATCATACTTGGAAGGGTGGAGGGACAGTACAAAAGAGGAAGACTCTCGATGAGATGGATTGACTTAGTGACTGGGGTAATGAGGGTAGGCGTGTCAGAGACAAAGTTGGCACAGGACTAAGAAGGTTTCAGGGCTATTGTACATAGGGTTGCTATGAGTTGCAAGCAACTGGAAGGCACATAACAACAACAACAACCAATTTCTCTACATGAATGCCTACTCAGTCAACTTTATCATTAGTATGTCTTGACCAACTTATTAATACAGCTTATTCCGTGATGATGAATCATACAATGGCCTTTGGCTCTACATATTTGCTTCAGTGCTTATGTATATACACATATTCTTTCTCTATCCACAGCTTTCTTTTAAAGCCTGTCACACAAATAAAGATGTTTCAGCCTTTTTGAGTTTCAACTTTTTAAAATAATTCTGACCTGCTTTCTCTCCCTCTTGATGACAAGTTAGAGCTAGATTCCCATCCTGGATATGACATTATTCTTGTGTACATGTATCTCCTGTAAAATGCTTATACTTCATGGTATATATGTGCTTGCATTTCTGTTATTTTCACTGGACTATAAACCCTCTGAAAGGAAAATAAGAGCTTTTACTTAGCTTTTAAAATCTAATATCTAGAACACATATACCAAGAGCTTCATTGATATCTACTTTTCGAAAGAAGAAAAGAAGTTGTTTATGCTCAAAACAATGAGGCTACACAGTTAACTTTAAGAGGAGTCTCTGTGTAATCTTTTCTTACCCTTCTAAAGAGATGGCCCGCTGCAGAGTCACTGAAGGCTGGCGGGTTGCAGTGCTGTGTTGAGAATGACTGGAAAGGAAGAAAAGATAAATGTCAACAACTGTCAGGAAAATAACCAACAAACCAACACCAAAAAAACCAATCTTGAGAGAAATACAGCAGAGTAAATCACTATTTGGTTGTAAATTGATGATTACCCGCCAAAACATAGCACACTACCATGTAAGAGATACATGAGTCCTTACACTTTAATTATAACATGTATTGTTCAAAAGTAAGCTTTAAATGACAGGCAAGCAGAGAAGGACCAAAAATATCTGGATATGGTAACCCCGTTCTCACTTAGAGTAAGACTTTATAGAACATCAAGGCATAATTTACATTATAATGTAATATATTAAAATGTGTAGGTGATGGCACAATTTTTCATCATAAATTTTATACAGAGCCTATTTTGTGAATCAAAGTGGCATTTAATTAGTATAAGCTTACTTATAAATTTATGCTTGTAACACTTAATTTTAAAATTAATCAATAAGTATAAATTAGTTATTTAGTGAACATAAAATCTTCAAATTTGGAAATTAAAGTTCTAATTTTATATAAATACATTTGGTATATTTGTATAATTTGTTTTGGTTGCATGGCAACAAGAAAATACTGGGATTGTGGATAAATAATCGAAATAAAATACTATCTAGCATTTATTAAGTATTTACATTCCTCTAGCCATTTTTCAAAGTGCTTTACACTTTGCCATTTTTATATTTTATAATCCTATCAGGTATCCAATATCACTAATTTCATTTATCAGATGAGGAAATTGAGTAGAGGGACACTTAGAAACTTGCACAAATGTCTATGATGAATATCTGTGCTTGAATGTTATGTAGATAGTCTTTTTAAGAGGCACTGCACTTAATCATTGTGTTCTAATACCTTCCAAAAAGTAACCGTTTCATCAATTTTTAAAGAATTAATTTCCTAATGCCCAAGTATTCTTCAACTATTTTGCCAAAGAAATGGTCATTGTTGTGTAACATCGAGTCAGAACTGACCCATAGCTGACCCTCCAGCGGGTTTTCAGAGGCAGTTTAATCACATGGGAGGAGATTTGAACCATACGCCTACAGAATTGCAGTGCAGTTTCTCTCTCATCACTTGGCCACTAGAGCTCCCTTTGGCAAAGCTTTTGTGTGTGATATTTATTTTAACAATCTAACAGCAAAAATGAAAGCATCTTGGTTTTTTAATGTGCTAAGTATGTAGAATATATGTGTTAAGTGCATGATATAATGTACCCAAACATGTATCCAATTTTAGTGTATTGCATATACCTGAAAATGTATGTATGTATGTATGTGTGTATGTGTATATGTATATGAGTGTATATTTATGTGTATATGTGTGGATAGATAGATAGATAGATAAACCTTGGGTAAATGCTTGTAGAACATGAGAAAACATTACAAAATTGAGTCAGTTCTGATTCAGTGGCAATGAGTTGACTTCAGAAATCTTTATGGGAGGGCATTGCTTTTTTCCCTCCTACAGAGTGGCTGTTGGATTTGAGACAATCGCATTTTGGTTAGCTTTGTGACTTGCTATACTGTGTCATCAGAATAGTACTTCACACATAATAAAGTTATTTAGGTGTTTGCTAAACTCAGATGATTTAAAATTTATGATTTAGATCTTTTCAGCTAGCCATAGAGTCACTGCTATGAGGTATACACTTCAGATATAAAAAAAAAAAAGTTGATGACCAATACCCAAATATAACATGTGGACTAGTGATAAGAAGCTTCACTGCAATCTCCAAGGCATGAGGTTTGAATTGACCAACTGTTCCACAGGAGAAGGATGAGCAATCACTGCCGCTGAAAGCCCACTGAAGGGTCAGCTATGGGTTGGTTCTGACTCAATGGCACACACACAAAAAACCCCTCAGTAATATTGTAAAAACAATTTATTAGGAGAACTCATAAATAACAGCAAAGAAACATTTACTCATAATTTCTTGACTCTTTTCACATTATATATTTAACATTTATAGCTGCTCTATAAGGTAGAATATTATACATATTGTTTTTGTTGCTGTGTACCATTGAGTTGGAATTAACCTATATTTGGCCCTTCAGAGGCTTTTCAGAAGCAGTAAATTGCATGAGAAGAAATGGCTCATCTTTTGATTTGAACCGTGGCCCATGGGTTGGCAGCCCGGCTCTTGACCACTAGGTTACCAGAGCTCCCGCTTAAATTTTACATATAAGAAAACAAAATTCATTGAGCTTCAATAAATTCTTAGAAACCAACAGTTTACAAATGTAGAAGCAGAATTCAAACAAACAAACAAAAATATATCCATGTTATTAGGGCCAGATTAGGTAATTGGGACAAAACTGGGTGGAAAGAATATTAGGGTGGATAACCCACAAGATAAAACCTGATGAAGCTCACTCTAGGAGTCAATGGAACACAAAAGTGGATGGGAAAATGTTAGAATGGATACCAATGAGATAAAATCAGAGGAAGCTCACCTAGGAGTCAATTGAAGGAAAAGGTCAAATGAAGTCAAGTGCAAGTGTTAAACAATGAAAAGCAGGGAGCAAATTACATGAGACATAGAGCCTACCTCAGTAGTCCTGCCATGTATAGTAAAGGCTGTCCCTGGAAGCAAACTAATCAGTGTTTTTGGTACATGAGTGACATCAAGAACAATGTATCAGATCAAGAAATGCCAATCATATTTTGAACTTTCCATAACATCATATCGTTGGCCAAAACTCATGCCTGGAAGCATACCCAAATCAGCTATATTAAAAAATGACCCATGTGACACAGGGTCTTTTAATGTGTAGAGACCTCTTTACTTTTGAAGAAATGAACTGATTCACTTTCTGGGCTGCAACTTTTCTAATAAACCTCTCTTTACTTTCATTTTCATTCATGTCTCCTCCCCTTTCCTCTCTCCTCTCTAACTAAGGCTTGGACCGCTCCAGATTATTTTGTAGCAGGACATAACCAGGGGATTCATCTATGGCCTATGTTTCTGTGTCTCCCACCTGGTTCAAATCTTTATTTGGGCAAGCAAGGCTGAACCAGGGCATTCGCTGAATATAGCTCGTGTGTTTCACAATTTTATAATACATAAACAAGTTATAGAGAAGAAATGTAAATTCATCTTACATCTTTTTTTTAATATTCTGAGTGTTTCTGACTGATTTTCCATAATCATTACATTAGTGTTTTACAATATTTTCTATAAAGAGAACATGATTACTTGAACATTTAGTGTATTATAATGATATTTTCTATGAAGACAACCTAACTACTTGAATATTCATTGTTATCTATGTGGGTTATTTATACTGTTTTAATATCATAAACATCAAATGTTAAAATGCTCGCATTGGTAGCAATTACTTTTCTTTATTTTCTAAGGATGGATTGTCAGAGTAGAACCATTTCTTGGGTTCCTAATCTGTGTTATTAAATTGCTTTTTAAAAACTTTTTACTGTTTTATGACCATAAAAGCAATCATATAAATTATATGTGTATACAGACATATTTATCAGCTTTATGATACTATTAAAACTACTGACATTATAATTTTAAAAAGTACTTGATAATAGGCACAGACTTATTATTTCTCTAATGGAAGAATACTTTTTATATGCTTATTTGCTAATTTTTTTCAGAATTTTTAAATTAATCTTCTTTATCATTTTACTGTTAACCCAAAGACTGTACCACTCTGCTGGTTCCAATCCACCAGTGGCTTTGCTCTGCAGGTGAAGGATAGGCAATCTCCTCCACTGTAATTTAGAGCCTAGAAATTCAAAAGAGGGTCAGCTATATCGATTCTGACCCCACAGCAATAAGGGTGAGTTTTCCAAGGTAACAAGAGTTGCTTCTTTTAGGGTAAATATCAGTGATGTTCACTATGCTTGCCACTGAAACTATCCTCCCCTGTCTAAGGTATTTTTGTAAATTGCCTATATTAATTGTTTTTAGAGCAATACTTTAAAATAAATAATCTGCAGAGCATAGTTTATGAAAAGAACTCTACAGGGAGGGAGTAGTTGGCAAACAAATGTAGAAGGTATTTATTTTAACAAAAACATACCAGAAGCAGAGTCTAATAAGTAGCAGGGTTTCTTGTTGGTCTTTTCACTCAGATCATCTAATTAAAATGAAGACTCAGTAATTGTACTTTGCTTACTACCACCTATTATAAAATTGATTTGCCATTCTATCTGTAACTATTTGATAAATTCCTTTTAAAAATTTTAGTCACAGTTAAATGCAAAAGGAATCATAATTGGCTCAGATAAATGAAATCCTTTAATACTGCAAAGGCAAAGTCAGCCAGTTTTTCCTGGTATGTAAATTTGGAATATTGCTGCTGCTGTTGAGGACCATTGAGTTGGAACCGACCCATACATAGTTGACTCTTCAGCATGTTTTCAGAGGCAGTTAATCACATGGGAGGAGACTGCCCATCCTTCTCCTGCAGAGTGGCTGGTGGATTCAAACTGAGTACCTTTGGGATTGCAGTGCAGCTTCTTACCCCACTACAAGTGCCGTTATAAAAGACACACAAAGGAAAACAGAGATGGAGCCAGAACCCATTGTTGCAGTCACTGTGAACCCATTTTGTTGGGAGTCTTCTCTCTCTCTGGCCCTCCATCATTCCCAGTACCACATCCTTCTCCTAGGAATAGCCCCTCCTGACAACATACCCGAAGTATGTAAGACAATGCCTCACCATCCTTGACTCCAAGCAGCACCCTGCTTGTTCTTTCTCCAAGACAGATTAGTTTGTTTTTATGGCAGTGCATAAAATATTCAGTACACGTCCACAACACCACAACTCAAAGGCATTGATTCTTGTTCTTTATTTTTCTTGTTATTTCTTGTCATCTTTATTCATTGTCTAATTTTCAGATACATAACAAGTAATTGAAAAGTCCATGGCTTGGATCAAATCCACCTTAGTCTTTAAACTGATAACTTCATTTTTATCACTTTGGAGAGGTCCTTGACAGCTGATTTTTTTCTCAAT